GGAGAATGGAGGGGAAGAGGGAGAGAGAGGGAGAGAGAGAGAGAGAGAGCTGTTGTGAAGGGAGTAAAGAGGGATGGGACGAGGAGAGAGAGAGGGAGAGAGGAAGGTGGTGGATGGCAGAATGGATTTGGAGGGGGATTTAATTGGGTTTTTATTATTTGGGTTCATGTCCAACTCAGTACCTTAAAAGGGTATTTTTATAATTTTAATTATTTAATAAATTGTTTTTACTTAAACTCGTATGTATATCGGAGAACAACATTAACAAAAAAAAAAAAAAACGCAATTAGTGTTTGGAGATTGGTAAGAGAATATCATTTCAATTGCTTTTTGTTTGTAATTCTCGATCTTTCTTAATTTGAATGGATTGATTTTTATTATTTTTCCCATTTTTTTTGTACTCAAATATAATTATATGAATGGCAATTCATCTATTCCTTTTCTTTTCTTTTCATCCTTTCATTTATCCCATCTATTATTTATTCGTGAGCAAGATTATAAAAACAATTCTGCCCAATTTCTTACCTTCAGTGTAAATAATCTAATGTTAATATAGGAGTAAAATTTATTTATTTATTTTAAAAAAAAAAGAATTATCTCTTCATGATTGCCACTTCCACCGCTTGTGTTTTAGAATAATAATGGTGCAAATTCACGAAGAATGGGAGCTGTCTTCCTTGATGGAGTGTTTTCCATTTACTCCTTTCCCTGTAACTTCGATTTTCCTGGCCCACTCACTGATTGATGATGTAAACAACTTGGCTTTTCGGTAAACTTCGCGTTGACGTTGTCTGTTGACTTCGGAAAAAGTGAGGTTGTTGGATCTCTTCCGAGTGTTTTCTGGCTCCTTTGGAATTTTCTTTCACTTTAGGTGGTGGGATTAGTTGATTAAACACCCTGCTTTTAAACTGCGATTTTATTATTGATCGGTGATAGACGCGGGAGATTTTGTTCTCGAGTGCCCAAGTAAGTGGCTTCACTGTTTTTACCCTGATTTAATTATCCGATAAGATTCTCGTTTCCATCCGCAAATTTATTAGCTATAATTTCAAAACAATATCAATTTTTTAAAAATTATTTTTATAATTAAGCGAACAAATCATTGAGTTTGATTGGATTAATATGAATTTAACCAGAGGAATCTTGTTTGAAATAAAACTCAATTTTTCAATCTGATTTTATTATTAATTGATGAGATTAAGATAATCACAAAAAAATTATTTTTAAATGAATTTTTATCATAATTATTAACACAAGGCTGAAGCTATAACTTTGTTGGGGCAATTGAGATCAATTTTAAGATCATATTTTTTAATTTTATAAAATAATCATTTTTGTATTTTATTTTAAACAGGCCACTTCCACCGCTTGTGTTTTAGAATAATAATGGTGCAAATTCACGAAGAATGGGAGCTGTCTTCCTTAATGGAGTGTTTTCCATTTACTCCTTTCCCTGTAACTTCGATTTTCCTGGCCCACTCACTGATTGATGATGTAAACAACTTGGCTTTTCGGTAAACTTCGCGTTGACGTTGTCTGTTGACTTCGGAAAAAGTGAGGTTGTTGGATCTCTTCCGAGTGTTTTCTGGCTCCTTTGGAATTTTCTTTCACTTTAGGTGGTGGGATTAGTTGATTAAACACCCTGCTTTTAAACTGCGATTTTATTATTGATCGGTGATAGACGCGGGAGATTTTGTTCTCGAGTGCCCAAGTAAGTGGCTTCACTGTTTTTACCCTGATTTAATTATCCGATAAGATTCTCGTTTCCATCCGCAAATTTATTAGCTATAATTTCAAAACAATATCAATTTTTTAAAGATTATTTTTATAATTAAGCGGACAAATCATTGAGTTTGATTGGATTAATATGAATTTAACCAGATGAATCTTGTTTGAAATAAAACTCAATTTTTCAATCTGATTTTATTATTAATTGATGAGATTAAGACGATCACAAAAAAAATATTTAGATCAATTTTAAGATCATATCTTTTAATTTTATAAAATAATCATTTTTGTATTTTATTTTAAACAGGAAAAAAATAAAAACCATTGGAATTGACCCATTAAGTCGGTTAAATTTAACCTGGTCAGTTTTGTTTTAACTAGGTGAACCTCAAAACTACTTGGAAATGAAACCTAGCCTGAAACTATAGTTATGATTTGTTTTACCCATAAGTTCATGAAACAATAATTGGATTGTTGAGACCTGGAGTCTCCCTCGAATAATTGAATCAGTGTTCCTTTCCCTTTCATATGACCAGTCAATCACGGCTCAGGTCAAGGCAGAATTGGTGACTGATATTATTATTATTAGGGAGGAAGAGGATCAACTAAATCATGAAGCTATGAATTATAATAAATCCATGACTTTGAAAATCATTGAATAATAGGAGTTCTTGCGCGCTTGGGGCCATCCTGAACTCTGCTGCTAATTTTAGCTTTATCCTGAATCATTTCACCTGTGTTTTTTTTTAATTAATGTGAGGATTTGGATTAGGTCAATTTGTATTTATCAAGATTAATTTTATAAATTTTAAAATTAATAACTATTATATAAGTAATTAAAAACTTGAACTTCAAACCATCGACCAAACCCTTTAATTCTTAATTTTTACTATTTAATTATCGTGTAATTTTTTTTTTCTTAGACTGGTCGATGCGCATCGCAGTCAACCATCCTGAATCATTTAACGTGTTTTTTGTTTTTTTGTTTTCCTTAGACTGGTCGATGCGCATCGCAGTCAAAAATCTCTTAAAGGAGACTTTGATTTGTAATTCCGTATGGTCAAGTCTGTCAATCGGTTCGATTTTCATTGCAAGCATTCGGTTGGATGATGATATGACAGGGATGCCCTTTGTTGGAATTCTCAAGACTCTTTAATCTTCTCCAAATCAGTGTATTGAATTTTGCTAATAGGAATTTGAAAAGAAAAAAAATGGTCATGCACGCTTATCCGGACTAAGGCGGGGAGAATTTGAAATTTCAGCATCTAATCTCCAATGTTTGTGGATTACGGAGCTTATGTGGAAGAAGAAATTTCATGTGTTTGGAAGCAAAATTGACGAACCTTGGTATATTTTATGTATTTTTATAGGAAGCAAAATTGATGAACCTTGGTATATTTTATGTATTTTTATAAATAAATATCACATTAAAAAAATATGAATATAGATTTTTTTAAATTCTTGAGTGTGTTGCGTTGGTGTATATTTACACCAAACAAGTCTCAAAGAAGAGGCGTTGGGTCTTATACTAACTAGAATTAATCCTAGATGAAATTAATTTTATCATGACTCATCATTTCTTTATCTTTTATCTAAATAAAATCAATAGAATATAACTTGTTGTAGGGTGACATCGGTGCTGGCGAGCTATTGTGTCTTTTAAGGAGGTATTTTTGTTGGAAAGAAAAAAGTTTTGGATGTAATTATAAAATTATAATTAAAATTTAGAAATCATTACCTAATATTATATTATTAAGGGAAAGATACATCACCTTTAATATACCCTATTTAAGGTAAGTCGCATTGTTGTTTAATTATTTTTTAGGTTAAATTTCCATTCGTTAGTCTCATCTACAATTCAAGGTAAATATTTTTCGTTAAAGAATTTTTATTTTATCGAGTTAAATCCTAACCATTCTAAAATCTAAATTTTATCATCACATTTATTTTACACTTTGTATTTTTAATATATGAGAATTTACTCTATTATTTATTTTCACATTTCACATGTATTAAAGTTTACTTTTAAACCCTAATATAAAATTAAAAAAATAATGGATAAATAATTTTTGATATTCTGACAAAATCCTAATGGATAATCATAAAATAGTTTTGGTATCTATTTTTTTAACTTTTTAAAAACATGAAAAAATATAATTTTTTATTTTTTATAAAAATATGCTTGGAAAGTTTTTAAGATAAAATGGTTTTGGTATTTATTTTTTACTTTTAAAAAACATGAAAAAGTGCAATTTTTTGTTTTTTTATAAAAACATACTTTGAAAGTTTTTGAAATTTGATCGTGTGAATGAAAATAAAGTGTTTATTTTTGTTTGGAAGGGAAAAATTAATATAAGTTTTGAGTTTTTTTTTAAATTTAGAAATATTTTGAAAAAAATCAAATATTTTAATATTGAATTTATATTTTATAATGTAAATATATATATAAAATTGGTAAAAAAACATGTGAGAAAATCATAACTTTTTATAAAGGATTTTGTTTTTGTTTTTTTCAATATATAATATTATATTATTATAATTAAATATATTATAAATTATATGCATTGCGCGACATCGACCCGGCATACCTAAGTTCTTTTTTATTTCGGTATAGACCCAGCAAGGCCCACATAGTCGCTGTCTAGCCAGCCCAGTGACCATGGGGCTAATTATTCAGCAGCCGGGGGGGGTGGGACTCGCCTGACCAGAAAGACATTTATGAACTCCTCAGGGATATGATGAAAGATTAATTTATTGTTTTGGGAGGAGAATCTGCTTTCATGAAAATTTAACGTTATCTTTTCCAAGAGACATGGATGATGAAACCCACCAGATGAGAAGCAATAGTGGAATCCTCCGTTGAGAGATTTTCAGTGTTTGGTCAGCGTCACATTTCAAGACTGTTAAGATCACTGTGCCAGGTAACTCTGGGGAGCTCATAAACTCACCAGTACATTTGGTCAAGAATGCTAAGGTTCTCGAGAATGTATCAGTGGATACCCAGAGAGTCGATCGCTGTGATCAGGAAGGTTATGTGCCGAACGAATTTTTGATGAAATGACTACAAAATGTAGGAATAACATCGCATAATTTTATCCATTTTAGGAATTGTTTAGTGTTTTAAGTCCTAACTTTACAGGAGGGGGGGTTTCAAAGCAAGGCACTATTACAATTATGATTTGATTTTAGCTGGATGATGTGGGTTTCTGGGATTACGAGTCTAAATTGCTTCCAATATTTTTATGTGAAATCACTGATAGAAACAGGATTCATGCTCACTGTAAGAAAAGATAATTAGGCAAGAAGCATGTATGATCCTAAACAATACTGTAACTAAATCCCAAGATCGGCCTAAATGTGCCTTTTGTTAATCAAATAAAGAGAAAAGGATCAAAATCTCAAAATTGAAGTTCAGAATCATCCCATTGAAGCACTGCAGACTCTATGTTCTGCTCTCTTTTCAGCTTATCCTTCAAAAACCAGTCGCATACTCTCCCAGCATTCAGCTCCTCAATTGGACACCCTTCTTGCTCTGATACAACTCTTAAAAGGTTTAATGATGATATCTGAAAGCGCACACAAAATAAAAGCAAACTATTCATTAACATCTCAACACATGCATGTTGGTATGTATTGAACGAAGTCTAGAGAGAAGGAAATACCGTTAAACGGCATAGGAACCTTTCATGGGTGCTTAAGCCGGAAATTTCAACTAGACCAGCTTCTTCAAGACTCAAGAAACTTCTGCTTCCTGTCTTCTTCTCAGATTCTTGACCACTGCATCCTCTCACTGCTAGCTTTCTTCTACGAACCACCTTATTTGGAGCAAAAGTGGTTTGCTTTACCATCTTTTTGTGGACGTTTGGGATAAATAGTGATTGATGATAACTCCTGTAAAGTTTAAGTGAACTCATAGTTTTTCAGTTTTCAGTTGAGAGTTCCCGAGCGATGGCTAAAAGAATTTGGAGCCAAAGGCAGAAGAAAACAGAACAAGCTAGCTTATCAGTTCTCTTCTCTTTTATGTGGTGGAGAAAGAGATTGGATTATTGGAACGTAGATTATTGCCCAGAAAAAACAAATCATCCTGCTTCCTTCCGTAATTGGGCCATTTTGGAATCTAGAAGTGCATATTCAAATTTGATTTTGGGCTTCCATGAAACTGTTCAAGTCCAAGCGAACTTGCCCATCTAGGTAAGCGTGAGAATATGAGAGCGATTATCCATCGTAATTCAACTCAAAGATTTGAGTCTCGAGATGGTGACTGGTGAGCCTCTGAGATTGATTAAACAACTATTTTTATATTAAGATAATACTAAAACAAAATTAATTTAAAATCTTGAAAACCGCCCTAAATTAATTTTTTTAACCGTTGAAAATAAAACCTCGCCCTACTAAACTCGGGATCTGCAAAGCATCGGATTAGATACAATTATCAGGTGGGGTTTGATAAAAAAGATTAATGGCAAGGAAGACGAAATACTATATCAGAATCACCGAGTAACCCATTTACAAAATTATTACTTCGCGACTGAATATACACCAGACCATTTGTCCATTCTGAAGAGATTAGCATAATATTCGTCGAAGATTGCACACATATTGTGTTTACACATGTACAAAGGTTGATCAATCACTTAGACTTCCAGGTAGTACAAAACTATTTTCCAAACAGCTAAGAAGACAAACATCTAGAGGTGGCTGCTTCTTGACGATGCTCAATTAGGACCCCAGCAGCTCAAGAACATGACTGTCCTTAGAGACTCCTCAGCCTGCTTAAACTTCTCGTTCTTGGCGTTCATGTAAGCGCTTGAATCAACAGAACCAGAGAAACGCCTTGCCTGCTTTGAAGAAGAAGAGCAAGCAGAATCCCTCAAAGACTTGATAGCACTAGAATCACACTTTGATGCTTGGTCTTTCATCCCTTGAACCACTCTCAGCCCTGATTGGTACAACACCCTGCTCGCGTACCTCAAGCTCATGTATATAACAAAACAAGATCCCAGATTCTAGAATACCCAAAACAAATAAAAACAATTAAGGCTTGCTCAGGCTAAAAAATATGGAGATCTGTGAAAAAGCTGCAAGGCTCTTGATTTATCACGTATTTTATAGAGAAAGGAGGTTAAGACCGAGGTTCTGGAAAACAACTGGCTGTGACGGGTACATTTCAGCGGAGATTGCTAAGGAAACTGCGGGCGTGGGGTCTGAACCTGTGTGCTTGTGACACGTGTCGGTATTACGAGAGGGACATTTGGCTAAGCAGATAAGGACACGGCATTGTCCACGCGGGATGTCGGAAGCTTTGTTGCTTGGATATTTTATTTTCGCAGATTGTATCTTATTTATGATTATAATATTCTGATTCCGATTGAGATATTTTCTTACAGGGACTTGACGTGAAAAGAAAATTGGAGTTTATTAGAAAAATAATCCTCATTCGTTTCGTAGTGGAGGTGGATCTTATTTGTTTTTATGCTAATCTTTTATGTTTTTGTCACCAAGCCGATGATAATGTGTAGAAACTTTCATCATTGTACACGGAAATTTCTAGTATTAAAAATTATTCTAATAGTTATGCTTTCTAAAATATAAAAATTAAGAATTAATAATAATTTTTTTAAATAAATAAAGTTTCTAAGCCATTTGAGTCTTGGTTCAAATGATAACAAAACACATCTTTCAAGCCTTCAAATCAAATTCTAAACTCAATTTAAACAATATATTATTAAGGTTTTGATTCAAACAATTATCCAAGCATGTTGTTGATTTTTTTAAGATTAACATGAGTTTTAAGATTAGTTTATATATATCTCAATTAATTTTACAAATTATAAAATTAATAATTATATAAATTTTTAATAATCTTGAAATAACTCAAATTCAGGATTATTGAGAACTAAATACAAGATTTGATCAATTGCACTATCATTTAAGGTTTATGTTGTTTGAATTTGGGTCTACTGGCCAGAGCAACAAATTTTTATGGAAATATCTTAATGATAATGGGCTTGTTTGTTTTTAATTTTAAAAGTGTTTTTGAAAAAATTAATTTTTTATTTTAAATTAATATTTTTCAGTTTTTTTAAAAATAAAAAATATTATATATATATGTATATATATATATATATATATATATATTAAAAAAATAACCATTCATAGACTTCCAAACATGCCATTACAATTATACCTTCTTGGATAACAAGTAGCACATGCTCCTATTGGCTCGCACACGGGCCATCGGTGGACTCAAACCTTTGCGAGTACAAACCTCTATGTAGCATGCACGCGTCTTGTTGTGAATTCTCTCTACGAGTACAAACTACAAACAAAGGCGAGCAATGTGAAAAAGACTTGTAAATATCTTGGTCAACGGGTAAAATAAGAATAACTATTTTGTTTAACCAGCATTTTCTATTAATTTTCTAACGTATTGTTTCTCTACTCGCTTAAATATTGAAGGATCCATAAACCTCGAGCCCAAATACCAACCCCAAACATCTTAGTCTAGCCCATGAAAAGCCCAAATTTCTTGTTGAAGTTTTTTCAGCTTTATAAAAAATATTTCAATTCGTATTTTTTTTTTTTACAGCTTTGTTTAAGAGAAACACGATATATTACATTATGAAAAAAAATTTAATTTTTTTAAAATATAAAAACAAACAATCTCTAAATTTTATTTTTAGTTGAAACTTTGTTAAACCCAATTGAGTTTGTATGATTATTAATTTTTATTTTAAAAATAATTTTTTAAAATATTTAAAAAATTTTGAATATAAAAAATAAATTTTAAAAATTAAAAAATATTAGTTTAATATATTTTCAAACAAATACACTTTAAAAAAAAACAATTTTTATCACTCTCCAACAACTTTGTTTAAAAAAATTAATATTGCAATTTCATGCTTCCAAATAATACTTAAAATTATAATAGTTTTTGTTTTTTATAGTATTTTTTATTTAAAAATATATTAAAATAATATTTTTATTTTTTATTTTTAAAATTTAATTTTAAAATTGATATACTAAATGATTCAAAATTATTAAAAAAATTAATTCATAAAAAATTTTAAAAATATTTTTTAAAACATTTCCAGTGAAACCCTGTTAAACCCAATTGAGTTTTCATGACTATTGGTTTTGACAAGTTCGTTCCCAACATGACCGGGTCAATATTAAGAAAAAAAAATAAAAAAAAAACTAAAACAAAAAACGTTATTGTAATAAAATTGGTTTATCCGATAAGTGATCCAATAACCCCCCCTCTTCTTTTTTTTTGCCCCCGAATCAGTCCCGTTTTCGATTCTGACACCTATGCTTAATAGGGCAACTGAATTATCTCCACAAACTCGGGAGTTTCGGCTTCCACCCACATGAACCACTGGAGCTCCAGTAGCTGAGCTCTATCTATCATCAATGAATCTCCTTCAATCATCCCCCCAGTTTTCCACCGTCCGATTCCTTCACCTCCATCCTTCTTCCCCCACACCTCTCCGCACGCGATTCCTCCCTGTGAGGTCTCTCCTCCTCCACTCCATCCAATCAAAATTCCCTTTCCAATTTTAAAATTCGTAATTAATTGTTAATAATTATTGTTCTTCAGGTCGAGTCTTCTTCCATTCACAAATCAAAACGCGAAGTACCATAGAGAACTCGAAGCTGCAGTGGATGTTGTAGAGAGAGCGTGTCGTATCTGCGTTGACGTAATTGTTTTTTTTTTATTCTGTTTCGTTTCCTAGAAAATGTGAGAGTGAGGAGAAGAAAATTTGATGTTTATTATTTTATAATGCAGTTGAAAAAGTCTTTGTGTTCTGGTGAAGGACGTATTGTTGAGAAGAATGATAACACTCCTGTTACAGTTGCTGATTTTGGAGTGCAGGCTTTAGTCAGTTTGGGTAATTTTACTATATTTTAAATTTCATTTCGATTAAATTGTATCCAATTTGATGTTATATGATGAAATTACAGGTACCTTACTAGTTAATTATGTTAGAAATTAACTAAAATTCGCTTACTTATGGATCATTTTTCGATTAGATTTCTTAAGTGTTGGAATGGTATGATGCCTTTTTGGCAGAATTTATTTTTGTAAGTTTAAGAAATAATTTCTCGTATTATTTTCATTACATTCGGCAAATTTGCTGTCTCCTTTCGTTCCATCAAAATTGAGCTGACATTAGGTCATGCTGGAATAGTTATTCATAATTCATGATCAAATGTCTGCAGGTTCAATGTATTGCCGACATTTGCTCTTGCATTGTGCAATGCTGGTTTGACTGATCGGATATTCAGTCACGCAGAGCAAGAATTGGTTTGAGTTGACTGAACATCAATAAAAACATCAGGTTTATGTTGAGTAGGGTAATGACTTTTTTGCTTGAAAATAAAACAACGAATGTATCGCATAAAAAATGGGTGTCATTGAATTAGGGGGCTGCCTCATGACAGTAGCATCACTTAAAGGCTGTTGATTTATGTGTGTTTCATTTCGTGTTGGATTTTCATGTGTAAGTAGCACCTCGTTGTAATTTTGCTGTATATCTCCATGGGGTTCGGTGATTGACATTGTTTTTTAGTAATTTGAGTCTAGTTCTAGATAGAAAATTTCTTTATGAAAAGAACTATTGCCATACTTTAGTTATTCTCAATGGATATGCTTTATAATTTTTGTTTTTGCTAACTGGAACTTTTGGTTTGTGTTTTTGTTGAAAGAATTGAGTAAAATGTTCCCTTCTATTCCATTGGTGGCTGAAGAGGATTCTGATTTTGTCCGTTCTAATAATCTGGTGGATTCTGTTGTGAGTGTGGTTACTGATAAAGCAAGCTTCAATGATAAGCCATTGGCAAATGCTGATGTTTTGGAAGCAATTGATAGAGGAGGAAAGAATGCTATTGTCTATGGAACCAGGCCAGCCACATATTGGGTAAGTCTAAGCAAGCTCCCACTTACTAAAGTGAACATTTTCAGTCTATCTATTTATTATTTGTATAGTGGGATCTAATCATTCAAATTATTTGCATGTCTTTAGTAATTTTTTGGACAGAGTAGATGTAGTAAGTTGAGCATATCTCTTTTTTGACAATATAGTTGTGGGAGTGGTCTGCTGCTAGCATCTTATTACTTGGTGTTTAGTATCATAGGTTTTCTCTTGTGTTTGCATCAAAGCTTGCAGCTGGTCTTTACCACTTTGATTATCACTTAATCTAAACTCAATGCAGGTACTGGATCCGATTGATGGAACCAAAGGGTTTTTGAAAGGAAGTGAGGCCTTGTATGTGGTAAGCATTATGTTTGCTGTCTTTTTTTTCAGAACTTCTATGAAATTGGAAAGGATTGCTTAGCACAGTATGATAACAATTGTTAAATTCAGAAGGTGTACAATGATAATAATTTTTTTGTGTACTACAAAAAGTGCCTTCTTGTTAACAAATTAGACAGGCTTGTTTCTAGCAGCTACATTTGACTGTCTGGAATATCTTGTCCTATTATCACAATGTTTAAAGTAATGACTGGTGTTAATGTAAACGTTTCAGATACTGATAGAACTGGTTCCTGATGAATATCTGTTCATCCAAGCATTTGATCTCCTAAGGAAGATATAATTTAGTTGGAACTTACAGCTGTAGGCTGCATACAGTTGACAATGGACAGGTCTATCATATATTGTCGAGACTAATTACAGTAAACGTAATTTAAAACACCTGAATGATGCTTTATTTTGAATTAAGGCGTGCTGATTGGAATACACATTTATAGTTCCATCTTATCATACAAAACCTGTTGGAAGGTTTCCTGCATGCACACATAATCTTTTACTGTTGCTGGAGCCAACACATTTATAGTTCCATCTTAAAGTGACATACAAAACCAGTTGGAAGGTTTCCTGCATACACACATAATCTTTTACTGTTGCTGGAGCCGTTATTCTTGTGGACGAATATCTTATTGGGTAGGAAGATAGATTGTTTTACAGCTTCCAATGATTGTTCTGCATGTAGGCTTTTCCTGTCATCCAAATTCATAATTTTAATATCTAGATGCTGCCATCCTTGTATGAAATTAGCCTTACATGATTGCCCACCCTCAAAGATCCTAGATAAAGCTTTCTGTTCAAAGAAAACTAGTTAAGCTGAGTGGCTACCCTTTATATGGACTGTTATATTGAACAACGCCAAGTGCTATGTGTATATTCTATTGTAATTTGTAGTTTCTGGATTGAGCCTTTAACAGAAACAAAAAAATTGAAGCCAAGTCCCTGGTTTCCAAGGAAACAATTTAAGTTGCATGTACGTGTCTTCTCCGGCTTCTTTGGTATATTCCTTAAAATAAAATTTCTTTCCCCTAGATTCACTTTTGTTGTTTGAGCTATCCCCTTAGCTGTCTCCTTTGATTAATGAAAACTGCAATTTTTTCAGGTAGGTTTAGCTCTTGTAGTTGAAGGAGACATTGTATTAGGTGTCATGGGCTGCCCTAACTGGAAGGAGGCTAGTTCCTACAATTCCAACATTGATGTTCAAGGATCTGAAAGTGTGCCCTCCAGATCAGGGATTTTAATGGTGGCCCATGTTGGCTGCGGAACATGGGCAAGGCAGCTATCAGATCTGATGGGTGTTTCTGCCAAAGTGCCTAATGGTTGGACTAGGTGCTTTGTTGATGGATGCCATTTAGTACCCAAAGCACGTTTTTGCATTTCAGATAGTCAGACATGGGAGTCAGTGCCCCTATCAGCATTTTTCAGCGCAACTAGTGATGCTGACGGTGTGAGCGATAAACAGATTCTCCTTTTGCCAACATGTTGTGGAAGGTTTGGTCTTGTTCACCTGCTGTTTAACTAAATCATGCTACTTATATATGCCTAGTTTAATTGCCATGGTGTTGTGATGTAGAGTTCACTGATTTTAAGAGTTCTTCTATTTTTTATTATCTGTTTGGAGCGTGTCTTATATTTTATCAGTGGTCACATCTTTTTCTGTGTTATGTTCTGTACAAACTCTTGCACCTCTATCATACTGCACTTATGCTCTGTTCCATCCATTTACATATCCCTCTTTCCATGGCAAGTTTGTTTCAGATTTTAATCTTGTTTTTGTTCTGGTCAATCCCTCAACTCCTTTATCTCTTTCTCTCATCAGTCTCAAAGTTTCTTATTGTTAACCATGGTGGTTACCAGATTACTAAAGTGGATCTCCAAAATCAAGTATTTGGTTTAAATCTAGTTGTGAAAGTATCTAGAATAATAGGCAGCATCCTTCAATTTTACTCTTTAACCAGCATATAGAATAATACTCTTTAACCAGCATATAGAATAATACTCTTTAACCAGCATATAGAATAATACGCAGCATTCTTCAATTCTATATTTTCCAAAAGCTAAAAATTCTTGGCAATGAGTTTATAGAATAATACGCAGCATTCTTCAATTCTATATTTTTCAAAAGCTAAAAATTCTTGGCAATGAGTTTTCTGCACTTTTATAGACATTTTCTATTTCATGAAAAGTTGTTTAAAAACTTTTTCATCACATAATCTCTAGTGATGAATGAAGCTTTTCTCTGTTTATTTAATACAATTCAGTCCTCAACTTTGGCTCTAGAAATACTACTTTTGAAGCATCTGTCAAAACACCTTTTAGAATAGCAGGTGAGATTTATTTTTTTAAAAAAGCAATTTGATGTTTAAGTTCATGCTTTAGTTCTTCATCTCCCAACCTTTGTGTTTCAGCCCCCTACTTTTGTGCATTTAATTTTTAACTTGGGCATCTGTGCTTCAGTACTTTACCCTTTATTTTTTAACTCGGGCATCTGTGCTTCAGTACTTTACCCTTTTGTTTGTGCTTCAGCTCTACATTTCTGCTTTCCGACTCCTTCCTTTTATTTTTCAAGTCATTTTTCAGGTCCATCACATCAATTTTGGATCGTTTTCCATGTCATTTTCATGATAAAAGTTATGTTCTATGCAGTTTGTGCAAGTACTTGATGGTGGCTTCAGGTAGAGCATCAGTCTTCATTCTTCGAGCAAGAGCTCAGACAATTATCAAGGTATAGTTCTGCTTAATCTGAAGAGAATTGAATACCAAAATTGCTGTAGCATTACCTAATTCTTCAACAAATTTATGCTATAGGCTTGGGATCATGCTGTTGGCATAATATGTGTCCATGAAGCAGGGGGGAAGGTAAAAGCATCTTCACTGAACTCTTGTGAAGTTGCATGATTCTTGTCTGTGTGCATGCGACTTTATCTTTGGATTGAATTATTGGCATTGTTGGTCTGTTGATGAGTTAATTTAGGTTGTTATTTTGAAAGATAAGCAAGCTGCTGAATACACTAATTCCTAAAGTTTCCTAAATCTGTCAAACTGAAAATTTTCCTCTTCCGTCCTTTTTTCTTCACAGATCAATCAAAGACTGCCATGTTGATCCTTGTTTATTGGGGATCTGCTTTCTTTTCACTCTCAGTTTTTCCACGCCTGGCTGTTCACTTTGTTGACTCAATTAGCTAAAAGACTCCATTTGCTGATCATGTTCAAGCTTGGTCTTATCTTTTTTATTTTTAGTTTGCTTTAATAAAAAATAATGATCAAAATCTCGCATAAATGAGCTGGAAATTCTTTTTGGTGATTTAGTGTATAATAACTTTTCTTGATTCTAACAACATGCTTATGTTTGATTAGGTGACTGACTGGAAAGGCAGGGATATTGATCTTGCTGCAGATCAAGTTGAAAGAAGAATCTTATTCCCTTCATTGGGCGTTCTTGTGACTAATGGCACCATACACAACCAGATCCTGGAGATGATTTCTTCTACTTCATGATTTTTTACGGTGAATACCATCATTCTGCTTAAAACTTCAGTTCATTCTTCAAACCTGCAATTCTTTAGATGATCTTAATCTCAGTTCACAAAAGTGCACATGTGAATTCTCATGCTAGACCATTCAAAGTTCATTTTCTTCAAAGTTTATTAGGCTGAGTTAATCAGCCATTAGAAGTAAAACTCCCAGAAATTACGAAATGGAGAACCAGAAGTCACTGCTGTATTTCCTATTTTTTTCAGGCGGATGAATCCTTGACATTTTTTATATGTGAATGACCTATAGGATTGGTAACGCAGCATGACATTTTGACGTACATGTGAAAGGGTGACTTTAATGCACGTCTAAGGAACTAGTGGTTTTAATATACGCCGTGGTCCGGTGGGTAGCATGTCGCAGTCGATTTTGGTCTTCTCTCTCTAAATTAGCAACGCAATGCATGACGTCTCGTGAAGTGATAATTGGGTGTTAATCTGTAGGGTTAGGAAAAGAGGAAGGAACCCATTTTACTGTTCATTAATTAATGTTGTGTGAGCCACTGCATTCATCATGCTAATACTAGAGTGTTCCATCCATGATGACCTCAGGACACCTAGTCATTAACTTGGCATCCTGGAATTAATTGAGATGTATATAAGTTGATTGGAATAAATCTGTGGATGCCGTGAGTGGACTGAATCCTGCACAAGCTTTGAAATGTTAAGGGTACTATGGATCACTGATTTTCCAATTTGACAAGAAATTCTTCAGACACTTATTGCCAGAACTGAACTCATCATCTATTTGTTTTGTTCATGGTCAGCATTTATCCACACAAGCAAAGCGAGGGAAAGACTCTCGGACAGCTTTCTTTATGTTTTTTTCCGCTACAGTATTGTCAATTCATATTAACTGTCACCACATGCAAATTACGAAGTTATTGTTTCCTGTTGGAAAGTGAAAACTCGTTCTAGCTATGGCTGCTGCTGCTTCTGTCAAATGTTGAATTTCGTTTTTGTAGTTCCTTCTGTATCACACGCTGACAATTGTCTATCAAGGGTGGGGAGGGCCATGCCTTGATGTATAGGAGTGGTTTTTTTTTTTTTTTTGTTACCGCCTTGTAGCTCTCAGTTGCATGTAATTGTCTTTTCTTTTTAAAAAACACCGGCCTCATTCTACAAAGTGTTGACCGAATCTTCGGTTTACTTAATTAATTATTTTATTTGAAATGATACTATTTTGATTTTTTTATAAAAAATCTTATTGTTTTTAATTTGATCAGAATTGAGTGAGTTTATTAATTTAGTTGTAAGTCAATTTATTATGTTAAATTTCGTCTTTTCAATATAAAATAAAATTCAAAATACAATGAATACATATTTACTATGTTAAATTTAGTTTTTTCAATAAATACAATTCAAAATACAATAAATACAAATTTGATTAGAATTGAGTGTGTTTGATCAGATTAATTTAGTTGTAAGTCAATTTACTATCTTAAATTTGGTTTTTTCAATATAAAATACAATTCAAAACAAATAATAAATCCAAGTAAGGTTAGGTTTTGGATAATCCAAGTAATTCTTGGGTTTAATAACCCATGGTTTAGGGTGGGATTCAAATTAGGTTAGGCTTTGGATTATTTAATCGATTTACTAGACTGACTTGGGTTTAATAACCATGATTTAGGGTGGGGTTGGGATTGGTGACGGGCTAGTAGTGAATTTTTCAGGGCTTACCGAGTTAAAGCTTCAAATCTCATAACCTAATTTATCTCGAGTGCTAGGGTTAAGCGCTTCTGTAACACAAACACATCTCGAGATTACATTCATTTCGTGCCTTCGGGGTCCAGTAACCTCTAAGCTCTACCTTTGCTTTTGCTGCCATATGCCATGCATATGGGACAATGTCCAAAACATGTTGGTCCTCTAGATTAAATTAAATAAAAATTGAGCCATTTAGTGTAGCAATGAACAATTCTTTTTCCACTTTAATCTTTTAAAAAATATACACTAACCTAGTAAATGAGAGGTAAATCAATCTTTGCACCTGAATATATTAGTCATCTATTATGAATAATTAAATGATTTAATTAGTTTTATAAACAAAAAAATAAAAACAAAAACATTAACTTGCATCCAAAGACATTTTAAACATTTTAGCTTTCTAAGCTTATTTAAATTACTTATTTATCCTAGAAAGAGAAAAAAATAAAGCTTTCTTAAAGGGGTTTTTCTCTCTCTTTTTTTTGTTTTTTTTTAAATAATCAAGTTGACTTAGTAACAATTTATTCTTTCATAAATATAAAATATTAATAAAATAAAATGGTTGGTCAAAGCATGAAAGTATCCTACCATTTACATTTCATATCCAATTTACTTCTTATTATTTTGATTACTATTATTTTTGTTTTTTTAATTTCTTTTGATTGATTTTTTTCTTTGATTTCATCTCTAATCATTAGGTTTTATTTGGTTTTTATATTAAATTTGATCCTTAATTTTTTGATATATTTAAATCCTTCCACTAATTATTTTTTTTTAAATTTCATTCTTCATAATTTGATTTCAATTTTTTCTTATATCGAATTTGTCTCTTCATTTTTTTTACTAATATTTATTTTGTTTTGGATTTTTTTAATTGTATGTTTTTAGATTTCATCCCTTGATTTGTTTTTATTGAGCCACAAGTTTCAAAGGTTAATATGAACTGATTTTGGTTTTTTAGGTCCTTTTATAAAATTGATATTTTTTAAATTTTATTATTTCATATTTTATATTTATTATGTTTTTTTTTCTCGCTTTTCTTTCTATAGGATTATCCAAATCCAATGCTCATGGTTACATGGTTGGCGGGTTAAACTGAGTTGACTCATTGTTTTGTTATTGTTTTTTTTTAATTTTTTAGTTTTATGCCTTTAACATTTTTTTTATTAAGAATTTTGCTTTGTTGTTTTTTTGAGTTTGTCTTCTATACAGAGAAACCGAGTCTTATGACCACAATCATGAGTTTTGAAAGCTAACGATATTAACTTTTTTTACATTATTTTTAATTATTTTTTTAATTTCATCATCCCATATATATATATATATATATAGGTGGTCTTTGTTCTTTTTTCTGACTTTTTTTTAATGAGGTTATTCCAATTTTGTACTCATAATTACAGGTTTAGCGTGTTAACCGTGGTTAACTTAGATTTTTTTTTTGGTTTTTTTAGAATGATTTTTTTAAAAGTTTTATGCCTTGATATATTTTTATTGAGAATTTTTTTTTCTTTCTACGCATTTAAGTCTTGTTCTCATTATCATTACTAGGTGTTTCAAAGGTTAATATGAGTCGATGTTGGTTCTTTTTAGTTTTTTTTTTTAATTCTATTCTTTAATATTTAATTTTTTAGGAATTGATCTTTATATTTTTTTTTTACTTTTCTTTTTATGAAGTTATCTTAATTATGTGTTTATAGTCACGAGGTTAACAAGTTAATATGGTTGACTTGAATTTTTTTTTAAAATTTTTATATTCAATATTGAGTTGTTTCATAGTTGAACTTCATGATTTGATTCAGTTATTTTCATTTGTGTATTTGTTTACCTTTTATTTGCCTATATAATCATTTGATTAAATATATAAAAATACATTCTTAGAAATATAGTTGTTAAGCACAACTTAGTATAATATTCGTGTTGCGAGATCAATTATCTTAATTTTTTAATCATATCCTTAACATTTAATTTTTTTTTCAAAATTGGTCTTTGCATTTTCTTTTCTCATTTTTCTTTCTTAGTGGTTATCCCAATCATGTGCTCATGGTTGCGGGGTTAGTATTGCTATACAAGTTGACCCAAGTTTTTTTAATTAATATTTTTTTAATTTTACCATTCAATATTGAATTATAATTTTTTTTATTTTTTATTACCGCAAATGATTGTTTCAGCAAATTAAAATAATGTCATAAGAAGCATAGTTGTTAAACACAACTAAGTACATGGTTTTTGACATTGCAAGATGAAATATTTTAATCCTAATTAACTTTTGGTCAAATAAAAATTTCATTAATTAGATGCGTGTATAAATATTTGAATTTGTGATTAAGAAATTTTTTATATCTAAAAATACATCAAAAAAGCCAGCATATTTATTTTTTTTATTGAAAAAAAACTGTTAATGGCAAAACACCGATACAAAACTAGTTAACTATGAACTAAAATAGGAGGTTTTATTGCAACCCTCTTCACAAAGCGCTATATATTTTAATAGTGCTTTTCTTTTCTACTTCTTTTTCCACTTGTTTTGTTTTCGATTATTTTTTTAACTTTATTTTTTAATATTAAATTTATTTATTTTATTGAGTTATTATATTTTTAAGATACGGATCGTAAGTTTAGCGGGTTAACTCAGTTAACTAAAGTTTTTTTTTTCTCAAGTGACTTTTATTTTCAATTCATTCTTTAATATTAGATTGATTGAGAATTAGATTTTATGATTTATTTTGTTTACTTTCAGTTATGTTATTCCAGTCCTATGACCCGAGAATAATGTTTAATTGGTTAATTCGAGTTGGCTCGAGTTGTTTTTTTAATTATTTTTTTCAATTTCATTATTCAATGTTAAATTGATTGAGAATTAAGCTTTATAATTCATTTTGATTTACTTTCTATGGGGATATCTTGATATCACGATTAAGGTCACGAGTTTTGACATTTTAATCCCGGTTAAATTAAGTTATTTTTATTTTATTTCTAAAATGTTATCTTGATTTCATGATTTCTGACACTAGTCCTCCGACAATGAATTTGCTTTTTATTGAATTGTCCCCGTCTTATAACTTAGATTGCAAGTTTATTAGGTTAACCCAATTAACTCAATTTTGTTTTCTTATTTTTAATTGATTTGCCCCCTGAATTCATCATTTAATATTGTGATTGAAAATTAGACTTCATACTTTGTTTTAATTTACTTTTTATCAGGTTTTCACAGTTTCATGACCCATTGATAATGCTTAATGGGTTAAATCGAGTTGATTTTGCTTATTTTTGTATCATTTTTTTTTATTGGTTTCATCATTCAACATTATATCCTACAAGGGCAATAAATAATTTAGTTTTATAATTTTTTTTGATATGCTCTCTACGAGGTTATTTTAGTTTCATGATCAAAGTAACAAATTTGACATGTTAACCCGAGTTAAATTAAATTATTTTTTATTTTATTTGTAAGATTATCTTGGTCTGGTAACTTGAGTCATGAATGTGATAGATTGGCTTGGTTTGTTATTTATGTTCTTTTTTAATTG